GCACCCGAGTCAAATAACACCAAAGCAGGTACAGAACTCACAAGAAAAGTACCTATAAACAACACAGTATAAGCAAAACAAATCTCAAAATAATAGGAATAAGGAAATACGTACCAGCCACAACATCAGGTGCTACGCGGACCTCCTCCGCTGTCAGCTGAAAAGCTCTCCCACGAGCCTTCGGTGCCTCGACCTTCGCTGGTCGACTATCAGTAGCTTGCAAAGCACCAAGTGCGGAACCCTGGGCTGATCCCTGAATGAGCTGAGGGCACTCAGCCTTCCGATGGCTGGTCTGGTTGCAGTGAAAGCAAACTGCAAACCCCTTGGGGCAATCCCTCGCCAGGTGCCCCTCCTTACCACATTTGTAGCAAATCCTTGCCCAACACGATCCCTCGTGACTCTTTCCACACTTGCCACAAGTGCGGCCCTTCTGGCCCCCAACTCTCGTATCAGCGGGCTTTGCCCACTTGGTCGCCGGCTGCGACTGTACTGGTCTCCGGTCTCTCCCCTGAGACACCCCCTCCTCCCTTGCCTGTAACTCTAGCTCAATCTCCCTGCGCCTGGCATTGGTCTGAAGCTCATCCAATGTCCGGTATGATGAGTTCACCACTAACTCTCGTATATCCCTCCTCAGTATGCTCAGATATCGGCTCACACATGCCTGCTCGGTAGACACGTGCTCAGGGCAAAACAACGGCCTCTCATGGAACATCCTCGTGATCTCGGTCACAGTTTCTGTCTTCTGCTTGAGAGACAGAAACTCCCGGGCCAACCGTTCCCTCTCCACCTAGGGAGCATACTCATCTCGAAACAGCTGTGTAAACTTCTCCCATGTCATTGCAGCATGATCTGCAGGAGTAAAGCTGGCAATCACAAACTTCCACCAGTCCTTCGCTCCCAAGCGAAGCTGGTTCAATGCAAACCGAACTCTCAGGTGCTCAGGGCATGAACACGTGTAAAAACATCCCTCAATGTCAGAGATCCATCTCATAGCAGCAATCGGATCCTGTGTCCCATCAAACTCTGGTGGCTTCGTGTTGCTGAACTCCCGAAACAACAATGAGTCACCCCCCCTGTGGTCTCGAAGCAGCTAAGGCTGCGGCAGCAGCAGCCTCAGTAACAGCATCATAGCGCTCATCGAAGGTCTCAATCAACGTGGTCTTAATAGACCCAAACATCTCCGGTATCGCCTCTCGGATAGTTGCGCCCACCTCAGCATGGATGATCCTGCGGATCTCCTCGTCACTAGTACCACTGGTGTCCTCGGGGTTGTGGTGCGTACCCACCATAATGTCTCTGAAACACAACACGAAAATAATCAGAGACTCATTCGAGCATACTCACACTCGATTTCCCGCCCCTAAATGCTCCTTAGTATCCCAAAGATTCTTACTTGGGTTCCATACATATCCGGTGCTTTCAGTAGTACTGGCCCAATACTACCTTACACACCAACCTATAGTCACCCCAAGTCCTCCTCCTAGGATTCCAATTCACAAGTACTCTATCTCTCACGAATAACATACTACTCTCTTAGTAGATCTCTCATATGCTCATCTAGGTATCTCTCCTAGATTATCCCTCAACTCATAGCTTTCTCTCTAAGTGATTTCCTGCTAAATACTCCTACACAACATATACTCAAGGCAAATAACAGGTAGCAGCAACTCCTAGGATAAGGCATGACAAATCAGGCAACACTAGCCCTAAATATGAAATACCTAGCCTATCATCTAGCATGCATCCCTAACATCTCATAAATATCTCATAACACAAATAAGTAAGGGTATTTTGGGAAATCACCGTTTGGGCTCTGGCGGATTGTATACATTGCTCCAACTCGTTTTCGCTCAAAACTCTTGCTCGTTTTTAGAAAAATCATTTCTTTTGAAAATTTTTCTCAAATCATCAGTTTGAGTCCAGACACACCCGAAGGTATATCTGAATCCCTCAAACCAAGGCTCTGATACCAACTTGTAACACCGTAAATTTTCAAACAACTTTTCGTTTTTAAAACACATAATTCTCATTATCACATTCCAAAAACCACAAGTGTCAAATTGTCAAAACACAAATATCATAAATCGTTTTGATAAAATCCAGGATCCACAAAACATAAACTCCATCTCAAGTGTGTGTACAATCAAGTCGGCGCCTTCCCGCGATCCTGAGAAGACCTGAAACACATATCACATAACACGGTAAGCACGAAGCTTGGTGAGTTCCTCAAAATACCACACATATCTCATTAGCCTCTCATGGCTATAACTCAAATAAAACCCTCCGGTCAATGTGTCTCAGTGGGACCCTCCGGTCCCACAACTCGGGTGGACCCTCCGTTCCTAACTCGGTAAGCTCAGAATAATACACAACATAAATCACAAAGGCATAATGCATGATATCACAATACTCAATAATAGCATACAAGACACTCCGGTCACACAAATTACCACTCAAGGTAAGTATAGTGAGAAGACTCACCTCGTAAGCAAGCAAATGAATCTCGTACAGGAAACACCGATCTAGCCTCCGCCTAACACATACGATAATTATCTCTAATTAACACTTCAATCACAACTCTAAATAACTAAAGGCTATTCTCTCTCTCTCTAACTCTTGGAATGGGTAAAAGACCATTCTACCCCTCCATGGGCTCAATAATCCATGTCTTGACCAAACCCTAAAGTCAACAGAAGTCAAAACTTGAGTCAATAGTTCATATTGACCCGAGTCGTCGAGTGCACCTATGTGACCCGCCGAGTCCCCTTGTTCCTTCAGAAAAGTCACGAAAACCAGACCTAACTTGTCGAGTTGTCTCATCAACTCGCCGAGTTACTCATGTCCAGACTCATCGGGGAAAACCCTAGCCGACTCGTCGAGTCAGCTCATTGACTCGGCGAGTCCATTCGGGTTATATTCTCATTCAGACGTTCAAAAGCAGATCTACCACTCCAAACTCTAGATCTAGCATCCCAAGGCTCGAATGTCACGTAAAGCTGCAAGCTTTACGTTCATGCATGGCATATTAGGCTCATAATGCTAATACAAGCTCCAACAAGGGTTAGATGCACAAGAGCTTGCCTCTAGCTCAATAAAGCTCTAGTCTTTGGACTCACAAGGCCTCCTACAGTCCAGATCTGAGGTTCCAACCTCAAACCATGCTCAAATGACTCAATGGCACAATATAGATGGGAGAAAACCCTAGAAACTCGCTAAACCAAGATCTCATAAGGAAATGATCAAGTTAGCATCTTTTTTCCTCCAACTGAAGCAAATCTCTGAAGAATCTCTGGATCCAAAAGCCTCCTCTTGATCCAAGCTTTGATGCTCCTCACTTCTCCTCCAAAAGTGCACTAAAACCACAAGATTAGCCTCTCTCTTTCTCTTTTAGCTCATTAACACGATTAGGGTTTCACACAGGGGAGTAGGGTGGCCGATGAGGCGGAAATGAGGGCTTAAGGCCCTTTAAATAGGACACAAACCCGGAGATTGAGGGTTTCCTCACACAGCGCCAACTCGGCGAGTCGGCTGTCTGACTCGTCGAGTTGGTCATTAAACCCATGTGGCCAACCCGTCTCTACTCGACGAGTTGGGCATCCAACTCGGCGAGTCACTCAGTCAACCCTAAAAATATAAATAAATATTATACCTGAGAGTCGGGATGTTACACTTTGAGGTAGGACGGATGAGAAAAACAAAATTTGTTGGGTTGCCTGGAAGCATGTTCTTGCGAATAAGGAGTTTGGTGGTCCAGGTGTTGGCTCTCTTAAGAGCCTCAATATTGCTTTACTTTGTAAATGGATTTGGAGGTTAAAATCAGAGAAATCTTCTCTATGGCAGCATGTTGTATGTGGGATTCATAACCTTTATCACAAACCAATTTATAATCTGTCCAAGAGATCTATCCCTGGAGTTTGGAATAATCTGGTGTCTCTATTGAGCTTTTTGGGAGAGCTGGGCCTCGACTTTTATTATTTCGTCTCTACCAAAATTGGATCAGGGCGAAATACCCTGTTTTGGCTTGATAATTGGATTGGTGATGGAAATTTGGCCTTTAGGTTTCCTAATTTATATGCTTTGGATAAACGCAAGACTTGTTTTTGGCAGATAGATTTTCTTCGCATGGTTTTTTATGGGCTTGGAGGAAAAAACCCAGCCTTCCCGTGGAGATGGTAGAGCTGGCCCATATCTGTCGGCTCCTCGATGGGCTTACCTTGTCCTCGGAGCCTGACTCTTGGAAATCCAAACTTTCTAGCGACGGGCAGTTCTATGTTCGAGACATTCGTAAGCTTATCGACTCCAAAGTTACTGTTGGGACTAATAGTCCAACCGTTTGGCTGCATCTTGTCCCCTTAAAAATTATCTGCTTTGTTTGGAGGGCTAGTTTGGATAGTATCCCTTCCTCCATGGCTCTTTAAGGAGGGGTGTAGGTGTAGCTTCTACTAGGTGTCTCTTTTGCATTAATGGTGTGGATGAAACGGACCACTTGCTTATTGCTTGCGATTTCGCTAAGGAGGTGTTCAAGTGGATTTTTAAGTGGTGTGATGTCCCCTTCGTCTCCTTCTCTTCGGTCTCTGAAGCCTTGAATTTTGCTGCTAAGTGGGGAAATTGCCCCAAAAAAAGGAAGGTCTTTCTTACCATCATGTACGGAGGTTTGTGGTGTATATGGAAGGGCCGGAATGATAAGCTTTTTAATCAGGTGCTTACAACCCCTGCCAAAGTTGCAGACAATATTATTACTATGGTCTTTGGGTGGGTTGAGCATAGAGGTAATTTTGGTAATTGTAATTGGGCAAATTGGTGTTGTTCTCCGTTTAATGTCTTGTAGCTTTGTCTTGGTTGGGGGTGTGGGGATTGGAGATGCTTTGGTGTTGTGTTTTAGTTTAGTTGTTTGCCGAGTCTTTTTCCTTGTAAGGCTTCGACCCTTGTCTTTTATTTATAAAATTTCGCAGTTTCAAAAAAAAAATGACAAAACATACACAATTTACTCTTACTTCACAGTTCACACTATGATTAACATGTTCCAATTTACTCGGCAACAACAACACGATAAATGCCACATCAGAATCATTATATTTATCAAAGAAGATACATTTGAGCAGATGTAGTCATTTAGGAAGTACAACTCCATAGCTTCTTTCATTTAAGATGACAAAACAAAATCATCAATTTCTCTTCCCATCAATCTCCTCTTTACCATAATCCAGTCAACCAGATGAATAAATTATGATAAACTATGATTCAGCAGGTTGTTCCTCTGAAGTGGTTTCCTCATTACTTTCAGATTTATCACCCGATTTTTCACTAAATTTCAAAATAATCGCTCTCCCAAGCAACTCCTACATAAAAACAGAAGTAAAAAGGTTGAGACTTTTCAAGATTGGTATACAAATGACAAATGAATCGATTACCTTCCCATCTAAGGCCAATCTTGCAGAATCTGCTTCTTCTTTTGAGGAAAATGAAACAAACCCATATCCAGCTGAGTTTCCAGAAGGGCTGAAAACAACCCTAGTGGAAACAGGATTGAAATCACCAAAGAATTGTTTAAGATTTGAAGCCCTAACTTTCCATGCAAGATTTGATACAAACAGCTTATGGCGCGTCTCACCCACACCTGGTAAAGATGGAGATCGAGGTGGTGTTGGTTTCTTGAATTTCTTAGCATATTCAACTTTCAGAATCCTACCCAAAAGTTCCTACACCAACAGAAATCAAGAATTATCGTAAAAAAAAAACGACTTTTGAAGTCAAATGGAGAACTGATTTCTGATCGAAATCTATCAGATTTGTGATAACAATCATCGAAAACTCTCCTTTGTGTGATCTAGAAACAAATTTTGCGCCTGATTTACTTAAATAAGAATCTGAGTAACAAGAAAAAAGGTCTATTTTGACTAACAATGTAGGTCAAATGTAGGCCCTTATGAACATTTCTAAGCCATACCACCAAAGTTTTGCATTTTGAAGACTCAAATTCATGATTAAGATTAAATCGAACTACTTTAAAAAACTGTTAAAAACATTAGGAAAAACTTACATGGGAATCGAATTTCTTGATTACAGCCATAGCCTCTTCACCAGAAGACATTGTGATAAACGTAAACCCTCTCTTCCCATCCTCCCTTTTTATTATCTATAACACAAAAAATATATAAATAAATTTCAACCGAAAATCACAGTATAATACAAATTGTACCCAATAAAACACTGAAAGAACATATGTGTGATGCGAAGAATTAAACCTCAATATCTGCTACGGTTCCGCATTCGCCAAATAGATTCTTGATATCAGCAACAGAGAAAGACCATGGAAGATTAAGAACAAAAAGCTTCCTTTTGTTATCTTCTTTCTCGGTTTGTTCCAATTTCTCTTCTTCTACTACTGAAATCTCTTGTTCGATTGCTGAGGATAAGCATACCTGGAATTTTCTTGAAATTGGAAGAGGGAGGGGATAAAGAGGGGATTTGAGGATAATTTTGGCCTTGGTTGTGGGAAATGAAATTGAGAGATTTAATTTTGTTGGGAAAAGTAATTGGGCGTTTGGAGAAGACGAGAGATGGAAGTACGAGAGCTTGAGTGATTCAAGTGACGCCATTTTTGTTTCCCTCCTTTGAAGAAAGGATAAAGGAAACAAATAATATATTGTGTTTATGGTGTTTTGTTGTGTTTTCTTGGATTTGGTAATTGGTGGGTTGTGGCCCAAATATCCAAAATGGGCTCCTATGTCAACTATAATGTACTAATATAATGGAACTATCAATTTACACTCAACTCATTACTCATCAATCCATTTTCTTTTTTTTCTTTTTACTAAAAGATTTAATTTCTTTTCTTTTTACACAATATGATCCAATCTAGTTTTTCAAATTTGTTAACTATCTAACTTATACCAATCTTTTATTAAATAAATATTATTTATGATTATATTTAACATATTATAAGCAATTTTTTATTTTGAAACAAATAAATTATCTAAATATAAAATTAGATAAAAAAATCTTCTGTATTCATCAAACATATTTAATAAATTAGATAAATCAAATTATAATCAAATATAAAATTATATGTATGGAATATGCAAACTATATAATCTTAAAAAATCAAGACTAAAACTTAAATTTCGATATACATGCTGTAAATATGAAATCAAAAAACAATAAAAATCAAAATTTAATATTGAATGTGAAATATTTCAATTTATACTTTATTTATTAGAAAAAAATCCTATTTTTTTATTAAAAGTTTTAATATTGGATATGAAATGCGTCAATTTCATTAAGATTTTTAATATAATAAACTTCATCTATAAATATATAATCAAATATTTAAAAAAAAATGGTTATAAACAAATATAAAAACATCTACGAGTTGAATCGTATGGGTTGCATAGGTCCTAGACATTTATCATAAAAGCGGTGAGCGGCTCATATACAAACCTTAAGTGTTCTCCGACATGTCTCAGGTATTCTCCGAACGGTCTAATCATTTTGAAATAGGTCTACGAAAGCTTCGGTATTTTTCGGATCAGTCTTAAACAGTATTTTTTGGTTCGTTATTTTTAATAGACTGCCTTTTTAGGTTCGGTCTTTTTAATAGGTTGTCTTTTGATTAACACTATAAACAACGACAAGCTTTCTAAATGCATGTAGTTTGTAACACCCGGTTTCTAGGTACTAACTTTTATTTTGTCAATTTGAGAGTTTGGATTGGCCACGACGTGGTGGTGTGGATCACCACAGCGTGACAGCCATTAAAGTGTTTGTACATCATTGTGGTCACCATGATGTGAACATGCAATGGCCACAATATGGTGACGCCAGAATGACAAACCCTATATTTTCCAGCCCTAAGCCCTATTTAAAGGAAGTGGTGGTTAGGGTTTCCTCCACTCTCAGCCTCCATTACCTCCAAAGTACCTTTGATAAACCCTAGCCTCCCTTTTGAAGTTATTGGCTCATTTTTGGTAGTTTCCCTATCTTGGAAGGAAGAAGAAGGAGCTCTTGTACATAGATCATCAAGCAACTTGTTTCAACTCCTTGTGTGCACCTTCTAGTCTTTGTAAGTCTTCGCGTTTCCACCTTTTTGGTTCTCTTTTCATAGATCTAGGTTTTATAGCATGTTTTGGCGCATATTTGAGTTTTGGGTTGGTTAAATGAGATAAATTTTGCAACTTTATAGCTCTCTTTGGTCCTTTGGTCACTATATCTTCTGAATCTAGAAGTTGAATGAGTTTTGAGAGCCATGCATGAGTTTTAAGTCATTTTCTCATCATTTTTAGCCTAGTTAGGTAAAGGAAATGCATGGGTCATGCATGTCCATAAAGTTTGGATTTTTATGGACTATTAGGGTCCCAAGAAGCTTATAGTAAAGTATGAACAATGAGCTTTACGGATTAAGCAATCAATCCATTAAGTTGTCCTAGTGCAGTTGTAACATCCCAAATTTCAAGACCAAAAATTTCATTTTTGATATAACAATTTAGAAAACATTTATAAGAAAACATAATTGAGTCATATCATTTCATAAACCATAATCCCATGTCTCAAAGTCATATCGTAAAGATAGTAACAATGTCAGAGTACAATCCCAAGAAATCTCATAGTGCGGAAATCCTGCGTGTGTGTGATGTGCCGCTACCGCGCCGGCTCCTTCCCCTTCGCGGAAGAGGTACCTGAAAAAAAACTGAAAACTGTAAGCACGAAGCTTAGTGAGTTCCCCCATCATACCACACACCATACAATAACATACTTTCAGACAATTCTTGGGTTCCTGACTACCCAAGTCAAGCCATTCTGGGGTGCTTGACTTACCCAGGTCAAGCCATTCCGGGGTGCTTGACTTACCCGTCGGCCTATTTCTCCCGACTACCGGGGACTATTTCACCCCCTACCACTACCACGTAATAATATAACACACATATACTGCCAGGCAATTTTTGGGGCGCCTGACCTACCCAGGTCAAGCCATTCTGAGGTGCTTGACTTACCCGTCGGTCCTTACGACTGACATACGAGGACTATTTCACCTCCTACTACTACTATAGCATATAACATATCATGCTAGCACATAAACATATCAGGTAGTATCAAACCTAGATGAATATCACAAAGACAATCATCTAACATACAACTCCTACTGGTGGGCCGGTATTGTGTCCGTAGACGCACCGCTACTGGAAGGAAACTCACCTCGATGTCGTGAAGTATCCGCACAGTCCTCGGCACGGGAATCGACTCGTCTCTATTCCTCAATCCCTACACATCGACCTTTTCCGATTACTATTGTATACTCACAGCCCTTTTACAAGGGCCGACCCAATCCAAGTCACAGTCAAGGTCAAACCCTGGTCAAAGTCAACATCCAGTCGACTTGACTCGCCGAGTTGGTCCACAAACTCGTCGAGTCCCTATTCTTTCAAAATGCTACAACCCCCGACTCTACTCGTCGAGTCTAGCAAGAACTCGACGGGTTCACCTTCAACCTTAGCATCGAGATCATCTTCAACTGACTCGCCGAGTTCATCACTGAACTCGTCGAGTTCATCACTGAACTCGTCGAGTTCATCTTCATCATATGAGTGTGTCCAGTCTATGACTCGCCGAGTTCTATGAACAAGTCGTCGAGTCCGTCTTCATGGGTTGGGAGATTGCCTTGGACTCGCCGAGTCTGTTCATACACTCGCCGAGTCCTATGACTTCCAGGTCCAAGACAAACCCCTAGCAGGCTGAGTGTTCCTTCCACTCAATCAAAACCATTTCTAGAAGACATTTTGGGGGAAAAGCGTCCCGACTCGCCGAGTCACCCAAGTGACTCGTCGAGTCCCTCTTTGTCCAAAACTATACAGTCGATTATAATGGGTCTTAACGCGTCAAAACCATAGATCTGGCCTCCTAGGGTCCATTTTATATGTAAAGCTTCAAACTTGGTGTACATGCATGGGGCCTTTGGCTCAAAAAGCCATAAAAAGGGGTTTATATGATGCATGGGTCTCCCATGGCCATAAAGTTGGCACCTTTATGCCATGGGAACCCTCAATGGTTCCAGATCTGAAGTGCAACTCTAAGCAAATCCCCAAAATCTGCTTTTTGCTTCTCTATACTCATAAAAAGGGTAGAAATGGACCCAACTCAAAATCTAAGAGATAAATGGTCAAGGTTCCAGCTTTTTACCTTAAATGAGTTGAGAATGAAGTAAAACTTCTGGATCTCCTTGCTTCTACTTGAACTCCCAAGCTTCCTTCTCTTCTCCAACTTCAAACACACACAAAAATGGCTTGAGAGCACTCAAACAAGGCTAGGGTTTCAATTTAAGGTCTTCTGGAAGTGTGAGGGACGATGGAGGCTGGTTTGGGACGATTTAAGTTGTTTAAATATGGTGCAAACCCTAAATATTAGGGTTTTGTCCAGACAGCTCCTACTCGTCGAGTAGGTCACTCAAACCCCCCGATCAATAGTCGAGTCTACTCGACGAGTTGAGCCCCCAACTCGCCGAGTCCCGGAGTAAATTGCAATATTTTCTTGAATTTAAATACGTACCAGGAATCGGGTGCTACAAATCTCCCCCACTTATTTTAGACTTCGTCCTCGAAGTCTGCTGCTGAATCTGGAAAAAGCTCGGGGTAGTGCTCCCTCATCTCTTCCTCCGGCTCCCAAGTCCATTCTGACCCCTTGCGGTGCTGCCATTGCACCTTCACCAGCTCCACCCTCTTGTTCCTCAGATCCTTCGACTTCCTGTCGAGGATCGCTATTGGCCGCTCGATGTAGTTAAGGCTGTCATACACCTGAATATCCTCCAAGGGCACCATTGCCGAGTCGTCCACCAGGCACTTCCGTAATTGGGAGACGTGAAACGTGCTATGAATCTGACTGAGTTCGGCTAGCAGGTCCAGCCTATACGCCACCTTGCCCACCCGGGCGGTAACCCTGAAAGGTCCAATATACCTGGGGCCCAACTTTCCCCGCTTCCTGAATCGAATGACGCCTTTCCAAGGCGACACCTTCAGGAGGACCATATCCCCGACCGAGAATTCCAAGTCCGAACGGCGCTTGTCGGCATAACTTTTCTGCTGACTCTGAGCAGTCTGAAGCCTACTCCTAACCTGCTGAATCCTGTCTGTCATCTTGAGCACCACTTCGGTGCTCCCCATGACCATCTGTCCGACTTCACCCCAACATATCGGGGTTCTACACTTCCTCCCGTACAACATCTCAAAAGGAGGACGATCGATACTCGTGTGATAGCTTTTTGTTGTAGGAGAACTCCGCTAATGGAAGATAGGTATCCCAGCTACCTCCGAAGTCTAAAACACATGCCCGCAACATATCCTCCAGAGTTTGGATGGTCCGCTCACTTTGACCATCCGTTTGCGGGTGGAAAGTAGTGCTGAAGTGCAGACGAGTACCCAACTCGTCGTGAAACTTCTTCCAGAATCTGGAAGTAAACCGTACGTCTCGGTCCGAAATCACCGAAACTGGCACTCCGTGCCGAGCTACTACCTCTCGGATGTAGATATCGGCCAATTTCTCGGCCGATATGCTCTCCTGGATCGGTATGAAGTGGGCACTCTTGGTCAACCGATCCACGATGACCCAAATCGAATCCACTCCCCGTGCAGTCCTGGGAAGCTTGGTAATGAA